GTGCTCGTTGTCCAATCATACGTTTGGCAAACGTGTCAGATGGATGACGGGAATCCGCTGCAACGCAAGCTTATAATTTATCGGATCAAAAAAGGTAGGTGTAAAACGTATGGGTTTTGCATCAGACAACAAATAAATATAGGGATTTGTTGGTGACTCGTTGGCTAACAGATTTGTCGTATAACGTGCAAGATTGCACGACGAGGCAAACATTTTTATAACAATAACGTATAAAAGAATTTTATCATTGTCATCGAGATTTTAACCGAAGACACGAGTACAGATGAATATAAATGAAGCATACTTCATTGTTCAGCTGATCAAATCGGTTAAAGTGAATAAACGATTTATCATGTACCTTAACAGTAATGCGATAAAGAATTAATTTTTTTTATTAACGGATGTCTTCTTATTTAACTTTATATTACGAGCGTACAGTTACAATGGCGGCAGATATGACAAATCATCTCCGAAGAAATACGTTTCCTCGCGCTTTCATCGAAAGTTCCAAATAACGATCCAAAGAATCGCAAAATTGGATGTTATTTTCAGAAAATCGACTATGAATAAATAATCTGGACCCAGAGAGCTCTCTGTTCTCCACGGTAGCGACGACGATGGCTGGAGGTATGGCGAACGTAATGCGCTACGCAGGAGCAACGGAGACGGGGGGAAAAAGGGAGAAGCAGAGAGAAAAGCGAGGCCCACCGACTATGAGTAATATTGCGGGGCTTTTCCACCCCTGGGAGCGCGAGCCTGAACGTGGAGGGTGGCTCACAGGGGTGGAAGCCGGCGGGGGTTGGAAACGAGAGAGAGCCGCGAGGGGGTGCAACGGAGGGAGGAGCACCGATCCATCAGCGTCCCTCCACCCTCGCCTTTCCGCCACTCTCATTTTTCTCCACGGTCCGCGCTCCATCATTCCGCGTCACATCCGCCCTCTTTCGTCCCCCTTTCCTTCCTGCTTCCTCTCTGCCTCTGAAACGGAGCTACTTTACCCTCCTCGTTCGGTGAGCGCCGCCGGAGAGCAGGGCGCTGCTTTCCGACTCCGAAGACATCCCTGCCGGCGTGCGCTACTGATTGCTCTTTCCGAATTCATTACCGAGGCCCTTGTCAGAGGTTTGCCAGAGTTTAGGTACTAGACTGCTACCGCCAGTATGCAGATCTAGGTGAGTTCGCGCGGTCGGTCGGGACGTTCTAACAACGGTCCCGCGACATACGCTGAGCATTGTTCGAAATCGGGGCGCGCGCTTGATATCAATACAAAATCAAATTTCGGAAAATTTAGATTTCGATCTATATATATATATATATGTAAAAATGATGTCTGACGATAACAGAAACCCGAATAATAAGTGAAGTCGTAAGAATGATAAAAATTTCAATTACTAATATAATTAGGAAAATATTATCACTTTACACGTTGATATCAGTGTTAAGTGCTTAAGCGATACGCTTAAGAGCCT